CGGCGGCATCGATCTTGTCGGCGGCGACGAAGCAGCGACCTCGGCGGCGACGGTTTGCAGGTGACTCGGGTTTTGTGGAATGTTTCGTGGATATTAGGTTTGGTTTGGACAGATATGAGTTAGGGTTGCATGATTCGTTCTTTTGTTGATTTTATTTCTGGGTTTTGTGGAATGGCTTTCTGTTTGTGTCGATGTTAGTTAGGGTTGTGTCGATATTAGATCTGTTTGTGTCGATATTAGTCATGTTTGTGTCGATGTTAGTTCTGTTCGAGCATGATATGAGTTGTTACATTCCTGGATAGTTGTTTTATAGGATCTGGGTATTTGTCTTTGCAGGTGATTTATCAATGGCAAAGACTAAAACATCAGGGAAGAGAGCTCCAATGACTTCACCCCATCCACCACCACCACCGCGACAGCGAGAGGAAGATGAGGAAAAAGATGATGCTGAAGACGAAGCAGAAACAACTGCACAAGAAGATACTGAGGTCGAAGCAGAACAAACTACATCACAGCAAGATGCTGAACTCGAAGCAGAAACAACTGCACAAGGAGCAGCTCGAGATCGGAAAAAGCTGAGGTACAGATTACAGACATTATATTGTTTATTTTGCTTGTATTGTTTCTTTGATATATCTGGATATTGGTTTTGGCAAGCATGATATCAGTTGTAACTTGCCTGGATGTTTGTTTGATTTATCTGAATATTTGTTTGACATATCTGGATATTCCTTTTATATATCTAGATATTGGTTTTGGCAAGCATGATATCAGTTGTAACTTGCCTGGATAGTTGTTTGATTTATTTGAATATTTGTTTGAGATATCTGGATATTTGTTTTGGCAAGCATGATATCAGTTGTAACTTGCCTGGATAGTTGTTTGATTTATTTGAATATTTGTTTGAGATATCGGGATATTTGTTTGATTTATCTGGATATTTGTTTGACCAATCTAGATATTTGTTTGATATATCTGTATATTTGTTTGTGCATGGATTTATCAATGGCAAGAAATAAAAGGATCGCGAAGAGAGCGCGAAGGAATCCACCGCCATTGCGAGAGGAGGATGAGGAAGAAGATGCTGGACAAGGAGCTGCACCAAAATTGGATATTCTAGGACAAGGCAAGCCGTGGTACAGATTTCGGTGCCATACCAAATCTCTCCTAGATGTTATTAATTACTGGAAGGAAGAGCCAAGGTACTATGAAGCATGTAAGAAAGAGTTGGAGAAGGCTGGATTTGGAGGGTTATTGGAGCTTCGATTGGCAAATTTTCCAAAGAAGTTGTCCGATACCTTGATGGCACAGTACGACTTGGTCACCAGTTCATTCATTTTCGGTGAAGGGGAGAACAAGAAGGTGCTGACAATCGAAGCTGAGGATGTTGCCCGTGTTTACGGCCTTCCTATTGGTGGAGCTGAGATTGATGTCGTTAGGTCGAACGACAAGATGCTTGATATGTTCTTGGAGGAGCTCAATATCGAGTGTAATCGAAGTCGAAATGTCGAAGTCTTGGATCTTAAAGAGGCAGCCTGTGGTGGTCCCGATGACGCACCGAAAAGGAGACCACCTGTTGCAGCCGCAGTGAAGCAGTTTTTGTTGCTGGCTCTAGGTTCGATGCTTATCCCAAAGATGTCACGACTTTGTGATCTCGATTATGCCGAGTATCTTGTTGGAAGGGTGGAAGACATTGCCACTTTTAATTGGAGTGGTTTTGTTGCCCGCAATCTGAAGTTTGAGTTGTCTCGTGCTAAGGAGAACGAAGCTGAACTAAGGCATCTTGGTAAACAGCAATGGCCTCTCGGAGATATCCACTTCTTAATGGTAACTTCTCCTTTAACATTGTTGATATTGTTTATTTGATTTGCTTAGGATATTAGTTTTTGTGCCTTTGATGTTAGTTTCGCTGCTTAGGATATTAGTTTTTACTATTTCTGATATTTGATTTCTTTGCCTTTGATATTAGTATTGCTGCTTAGGGTATTAGTTCTTTTCATTCGTGATATCTGTTTTGTTTGCTAGTGATATTAATAACTGTGCATGGGATAATAGTTGTTTCATTTCTGATATTTGTTTTGAACTTTTTTTTATAGATCCATTTGCTGGACTTCCTTAATGTGAGAGGGTTTGCCACAAAAACCATCCCTACCTGCAGCTATTGGTTCGAGCCTAGGGTGGACAAGGTGTGCGGTAATATCCCCAAGGAAGCTGAGAAGTATCTTCTTGGTCCGATGTTGTTCTCAAGAGAAGAAGTCAAATCCCGCTTCCGTCTTGCACGTGTCAGGAGGGATTTGGAATTTGGATCAAGCAGCTCGGCTTCTACTACTGAATGGTGGAAGGATGTTGATTTGGAAACCCTTGATGATGATGAGGTATGTATATATTCTCTCTGCAACTCAAAATAATGGGTTAGTGGCCATGGGTGTTTGTAGTGAACTAAATTTGTTTTCAATATATGTGTAGCTTAAGGCATTGGAGTCCATGACTGAAAAAATGATGGATGTATGGGAGTCAAGGCGGGATAGTGTTTGGAGAGTTGTCATTTTGCGCCATAAAGGAACCAAATGATCTTGGCAAATTTTCTCTCTTTAATTGGATGTAATGTGCTTGTTGGGATTTGATCTTTGCCATGTTGGAATGGCTTGAACATTAAGATTTCTGTTTCTTGTTGGGATTTTATCTTTGCCATGTTGGAATGGCTTGAACATTCAGATTTCTGTTTATTGTTGGGATGTTATCTTTGCCATGTTGGAATGGCTTGAACAAATTGTTTGTTCTGGATATTATTTATTTTCATGATTGCATCGAACATGTGCTGTATGTTTGGATATTACTCTGTGTTGTCAGGGTAATTGATTCAAATTATGTTTGGATATTGTTCTGTGCGTTCTGGATAACAGCTCCCTCATGATTGGATATTACTCTGGCAGTTTGGATAATAATTTAGTGTGCTTGTACGTGTTTTTCCAGCGACCAAAACAAAGAAGGAAAAGGGGCAAAGTGGCGAAATCTTCTTCGACTTTGGTCTCTGTGACCAAAGCGAGGATGAAAAAGGATGGAGACGGGAAAGGCAAGAACATGTGCAGCCGCTTCGACTCTCAGAGAATACCTGAGAAGACAGTCTTGTCTATTGTCGAGCCTGAGGTCGACATGCCTGTTGATAAGTCCAATATTGAGATGGAGGTGGAGCCAGAGTCAGTTGCCGTTACTGAGATGGAGGTGGAGGTAGAGTCAGTTGTCGCTACTGAGCTGGTTCGGGAGCCAGATGGAGTTGTCGAGCCTGAGGTCGACATGCCTGTTGTTAAGTCCACTACTGAGATGGAGGTGGAGTCAGAGTCAGTTGTTAGGACTGAGCTGGTTGGGGAGCCAAATTCTGTTTGTTTCGAGTCTGAGGTGGAGGTCTCTGTTGTTCAGTCGGGAGAGCCAGGCGTGCAGTCGACTGTTAATCCACTTAAGGAGATGGGGGAGCTAATCGAGCAGAGTATGGGTACATCTCCGACTACGATAATATTTCTCTTACCATTAGCCTCTAGTATGGGTTTTTTGGATATTTGTTACTTTATGAGTAGATACTGGCAATCTTTTGCAGATACCTGTCGAGTCAACTACTGCTGCCCAGGAGAGTATCACAATGGTCCCGCTTGAGGTTCTAACTCAAGGATTAGCAGGACCATCAGAGGATGAGCTTATAGCAGCAGCATGTGAGCTGATGGAGGATAGAGACCCGGATACGACATTCGCGAATGTGATGCAGATTGGTTTCCAAGCCACTGCTACCGCTGAAGAGAGTATCAAGACATCTCCAACTACGGTAATATTTCTCTTACCAATAGACATTAGTATGGGATTGCTGGATATTAGTTTCTTTTTGCATGGATAATATCATTGGCTGCCAGGATATTGTTTTCGTATTGAGTGGATACTATCCTGGGCGTTTATGATATTGATTTCTTTTGTTATGGATACTAGCTTGGGCTTGCTGGATATTTGTTTCTATATGAGTAGATACTGGCCATGTTTTGCAGTTTCCTTTCAAGTCAACTACTGCTGCCCAGGAGGATAGCGACGATGATATTATCATCTCTGAGTGCATTAAGAGTGCGGAGGAGGCAGAGTATTTGTACTCTATCACACCGGAAGCTTGGAAAGCAACCCTAAAAACTCCAGAGTTTGATAGGTCAAAACACCACCCCTTCGGCGAATCAATGTACGTTCTGCCAAAGACTATGTCGACGAAACTCGACGTTACAGTTATGCAAGTGGTTGACTTCATATTCAGTACTCCTGCTCCAGCCAAGTAAGTTGATAATTGAGGAGTTATTTAATCACCAATTTCAATTTGCCCAACCCAAATTTCTAAACTGGTTTTCATTTTTGTTTTATAGTGAGAAATTTGTAGTGGATACTCCAACCGGTACCCCCCGTGAGCAGATACCATTCATTGAAGGGTAGAAGTTGGTTGCATACCCAAATACTTGTAGTATACGGGAATTTGATAAATTACAAAGAAGCAGGCAATGAGGTGGTGCAAAGAATTGTCTTCCCATGGAGTTATGTAGTAAGTATTATCTTCACTGCTTAGATACTATTCATATTTAAAATATCTAATTTCATATTGTTGTCTCTTCTAAATAGCAATATGCCGTCAATACTGCTTATTCGAACCAACCCATGGACAAGGCGAGACTAGATGCATGGATTCATCTGCACAAATACAATCCAATGCTGAAACGGGAAAACTTGGAAAGATGTGATTACGTAAGCGACTCTGCTAGTTTGAATTTTTTTATTTTTCATAGATATTTGTATGGGTTTATAGGATATTATATTGGAATTTGAGATATTAATTTGGGTTATTAGGATATTAGTCAATGATAAACTCACAAACTGCTTTGTGTTACAGATATTTTTTCCAATGTATCGAAATGATCACTACCGGGTGTACGTGGCTGACATGAAGAATAGGAGGACTTTCGTACTTGACAGCCAAAAGCCCAATGCCCGAGTGGCTAAGGAGGATCATGGACCAGTTGGAAGCATTATTTTTTGGGTATGCAGCGGCGTTCCTCAAACATCAGGGGGTCGATTGTGCAATGGATGAGTGGCCATTCAACATTGCCGACGTTCCTCAGCAAGAAGGAAACCATGATTGCGGTGTCTTTGCATGCCTTTACATGGAGTTGTGGGCGGGTCACCTTCCAGTGGAATATAAAGCAAGTTGGCACAAGCAGCCACATGTGCAGGAACAGCGAACACGGATTGCAGCCAACCTGCTTTTATGGGAGCATAACCGCCGCAAAGATGAAATAGTTGAAGGTGCAATAAAATGGCATGCGAAGAAGGAGAAGGAGAAAGGGAAAAGGAAGAGAAGGTGATTTTAGATTTTAGTTTGTAAAACTGAACTTAGGCTTGGATGGAGGATATTTTGCAAGATGTTGGATACAATTAGCATGTTTATTTAAACAAATATCATGCTTATTTAAACATCGATGGAGCAAAGTGACAGACAAATATCCTTACAACCCAGAAAAATATCATGTTTATTTAAACAAATATCGGCAAGCTAATAGACAAATACCCTTACTGACCAGACAAATACCATGTTTAGTTAAACAAATATCTCCAAAGTGACAGACAAATATCAGAAAGACCCAGACCGATATCCGAATCATCCAGACACATATCCTTCTTTTGTAGACTAATATCTTTGGAGCCCAGACTTATAGTAAATCTACATCTGTGCATGTGAATAGTGAATAATATCATTGATACAACACATATATGTACACATCTCTGAATAGTGACTAATATCATTGGACTCGCTTCGAAAATACTGATATCCAGGAAGCCCAGAATAATATCTGTACATTCTACAACACATATCAAGGTTGCCCAGACAAGTATCCTAAGAAAGTGTATTAATATCCACTGCAAAACAAAAACGTATCCTGGAATCACATGTCAATTTTATATCACAGTAGACCACTCTCAAACCACCCTACATTCTATTCATAACCATTGAGCAATATTATCATCCAAATCACTAAGATGACCATCCGAGTGAGCAGTGTCGTCCGCCGTGACCACTTCAATGGATTTCATTCTCTTCCTATATTCACGTTTCTTTCGACGACGTTCTTTTTCATTCGTAGACTTGTAACGTTCCTTACCGTGCCTCCTTGGATTACTCTTCTCCTTCAAAGTCAGCCCAGTTATCGGTACAGATCGTCCTACAATGTTAGAGAATTTAGTAAATGCAATGATATTAAACTCTAACAATTTACAAATGTTATTAGCGAATATACTTACTGTCCTCGCTAGTTATAGTATTTGACAATGCCTTGTTTGCCTCATTGCACACTTTCTTGAGTACTCCCATCCACTTATTGTAGTCCTTCTCATCGGCCATCGACATATTCATTGCTAGCTGATTCAACATTGCAGTGGTTTCCCGGTACCGCATTGCTATACCTTTTCCCGCATCATTCTCACTGGGAGCTGAAGGACCAACAGAACCATCGACATCAACAACTTCTCTCTCTCTCTCGCCTCCAACGTCCATCGCTTGAGTATGTAATGATCAGGAATACTTCTCATACTTGCTTCCCCAAAATCTCCAAGAAGCCGCATCACCTTAATCATGTGGCGGCATAACACTCCTAAAGTTCTGAACATTCTGCATTCGCATACCAAGGTCGTCGTAGAAATATCTACGAGGACGACACGCTCATCACTACGCTCACCATCCTCCATCATATATATGAGGTAGCCAATCATGCCATCATCCCTATTATCTGAGAGCTTCTTTATTATATAGGATTCAGCCACCAAATACTGCTTCTGTATCTTTTCGAAAATTTTAGGAGTAAAGATTTTTGCCGCATGTTGGAGGATCGGGCTATTCTCCAACATTATATAAGGAATCGATTGTTTTGCATTGTAGTCTGACTCTGTCTCCTTGCGTCTTTTGTCAGCCAACAAACTACAATTAGGAAGCAAGAGAAAAGACTTAAGTGCCCAGACTAATATCATCACGGACCCGTAATAATACCCAGAAAAGATAAACAAATATTTAACCATACCAGAGAAATATCCAAACTGACCAAAAAAAATATCCAACTCTAACAGACTAATATCAAAGAAGGGAAAAGTCATATTGCGCGTGTGTACCTGCTAAAGTGAATGAAAAACAAGTCCAAATCATGCCTCGGCTTCAAGAAAAGTCGCACTTGTGCATTGCACGACTCACTAGCTTGCGTAGTCAACATCCCGGCTGTGAATTGATCTCTCAACCATAAAGAACACCATCGATGACGAAATTTCTTCAAACGTTCCAACCATTGATGGCCATCCGCAATGTCGCTATTTGGGAAACAATCAGAAACCATGGTGCTCCATGCCATGTTGAACTCTTCCTCGCTGTCGACGTCATAGAAAATAAATGAAATATGATGTTGGAACTTCTTCCAAAATGCCTTGTCCTTGCGAAGATGCTTCTTGGCATTCATGAGGATGTGCCAAGTACAGAGGGCATGAAACGCAGTAGGCCACTCATTTCTAAGGGCAGCTGCCATGGCTGCATCCTGATCAGTAAATATAGTGATTGGAAGCTTATTCTTCATGCATCGACTAAATGCAACAAACAACCATTCAAACGACGGAGTAGTCTCGTCATACATCAAACAAGCACCAAACACACAAGTTTGGCGGTGGTGATTGAAACCTACAAACATCCCTGCACGAGACAACTATTAATGACAATGCATAACCGAACAAGTGTCGAAAAAACTCAAACGAATCAATATCGGTAAAGCCCAGACTAATATCCTATGATAGGTTACCAATACCCGTCGTGTTACAAACAAATATCCTGGGCATCACATGTCAATATCATACCACCAAGGACCAATTCTATTCATAACCATTTCTGCAATATAATTAAAAACATCCATGCGAAAGAACTCAAGGGAATTAGGGGATTAACGTACCCAGTGGACGGAAGTATTTATTGGTTCGGAAGGTGGTATCAAAGGAGACCGAATCTCCAAAAAGCGCATAATCTTCACGCATCCTACTATCCGCCCAAAATATATTAGCAACTTTCTCTTCGGTATCCACCTCTACAGCATAAAAGAATCCAGGATGCTTGTCCTTTTGGTCCTCAAAGTAGTCCAGCAAATAAGTCGCTTCACCACGAGCCATTGTCCTTTGCCTTTTAGTGTTCAAGTGATTCTTCTGATCGGATTTGGTAAATCTCAGATTTTGATACCCACCAGCACAATCAGCCAATAACTGATACGATGCACTAAGACTCATCCCGGCATCGCGATTAGCTTGAGCCATCTTTTTCTGAGCATCACTCATGAGCTTGTTCGACTTGTGCAAGTGCATATGCTCGGTAGAGTGCAAAACATGACTGTGGGCTTCTACGAATTCATACACCACAAATCCCTCCCTAGCAGCATCCCATCCAAAACGAACACGGGCTGGACATCCATCCCTAACTCGAGGCCTCTTTCTTTTGCAAACCATTCTCTCCTCAACCTTGTCTTCCGACTGTATCTGATTATCCATATTGACTTTGCTTGTGGAAGTCCAGCCTTCCTTATTACAAAAGTAATAAAGGTATGCATAATTTTTCTCCACCACTCCTTTAGAATTCTTGATCTTTCTTATGTGTTCCCCATCTATTCGAACACCAAACCCTTTTTTGTGAGCGTAGCGCTTATAGAAATCAAAACACTCATCCTTAGTGCGATAAAAGATGTTCTTCCTTGCTTCCTCGTCTTCTAGATCCAACGTCGTATGAGCTGCGAGTTAATGGTATGAGGCATGTTATTATCCATTCTTGACCACAAACTGTTAGAATACATAGGCTTCAACAAATATCCGGAATTCAAATAAATAATATCTATAACTACCAGACAAGTATCAAACAATGCATTAAATAGTGGTTCACACACCAAATATCATGTTTCGTTACAGCCCAGACAAATATCATGTTTCGTTAAACAAATATCGGAAAGCCGATATACAAATATCCATACAGCCTAGACAAATATCATGTTTCATTAAACAAATATCGGCAAGCAAATATACAAATATCCTTGAAGCCCAGACAAATACCATGCTTAGTTAAACACATATCTTCAAAGAAACAGACAAATATCCGAAAGATCCAGACAGATATGTCATTCTCACAACAATTTCAACATCAAACACCCATAACCCCATCAACATCATTCAATGCTATTCTCACAACAATCTCAACATCAAATATTCAATGCAACCAACCTGCATCACAACAACACAAACATATAAAGAACTCAATCAACCTTTATCTTCTTCTTCTTCTTCGTTGAGGGCAGGAGCACCACTTGAATCTTCATCAACAAACTCATATGATGTAGGATAGAGTTCTTCTTCTTCACTATTTTGTGCGATCGATTTACCCTTCTTCATTGGAGAAGATCCTTGATCATCCAACTCCCCATTGTCGTCGATCAGCATCGTAGAAGGTCGCCGGAAAGATGGTCGCCGGAAAATAAGATGGTCGCCGAAAAAAACAGTTGGGCGGCGGCTCTCTTCCTTTGGAAGAGAAGAAAAACAGAGAAAAATGGAAGAGAGAGAGGCAATTTTCGGGTTTGGGTGGGTAGGGTAGTTGGGAGCATTAAATTCCTCCACTTTGTATGAATTTCCTATTTTTGATTTTTGTTTCCCCAAATAAATGACCCACTTGGGCCCCTTCTTTCCATTTCTCCCCCCTTGCCACCTAAACCCTACCAAACCGCCACCATCAGCTCCATCTTTCATCTCAGCTGGGCTAAAAAACCCACAAAACTCCACTGGGCCGTGTCAGTATCTCCACAAATATCCAAACAACACAGACAAATATCCAAACGACACAGACAAATATAAAAAAAAGACAGACTAATATCCAGTCTCAATAAAAAACTATCCAAACCAGCCAGCCCAAATATCCGAACGTCGCGAACTAATATCCGTTCTGCCCACTCGGGCTTGCGGTGTCCGCCGGGCCCACTAATTAAAAAACCAAAAAACAAAACCCTAAACCCTACCCCTTTTAACGTTCTTCCCCAATTGCCAAATCTCTCCCTTTATCGCGAATGAAACAACTAGTTTTATCGCGATTTATCTATCAAACGACTCTTTTCATTGGGTATAAAAAAACGACTCTTTTTATCTAATATCCGACTGTCGCACTAATATCCGTTCTCCATTACAATTAATAATTAAACCTTTAACCCTAAAAAACATTCCTAAACCCTAACACTAACACCCTAATCACTTTTCCAAAAAAGCCCTATTAGAATATCGAAAAGTCCAAGAAAATTTCGAAAACATGAACTAATATCAATTCAAACCTAAGCTAGACCCTAAACCCTTAACCCTAAACCATAACACAAACCATAAACCATAAACTATTATTATTTAATGGGCCTTCGGCCCATGGGCCCTCGGCGGGCAGCCCTAACTAAGGTTGCAAGCCTTACGTGTTAGGACTTCCTAGTGTGTTTAATTTCCCAGTGTGTTTAATTTGATGTAAGAAACAATATTCCAATCCTTCACAAATTGAAAACCAAACCATAAACCCTAAAACTTAAACTCTAAATTGGTGTAATCAGTTTCGGGTGGTTGGGTTATTTTGGGGTTTGGTAAATATTAATTTAATGATGACATATATAACACATAATAAATATCCAACACAATGATTCAAAGTAATATCAACACAACACATAATAACATCCACTGAAAACAAATAAATATCCAAACAAACATACATATATATAACATGGGGCCCAAAAATTTCATTCTCTTTCCACTCCAACCCAAAACCCGCCCAAACTGAAGCCGGGCCCACCACGCCACTTGCTCGGCTCACCTTCTGCGCTGCACGCTGGGCCGGCTTCTACACGGAAGCCCATCTCCAGCTCATTTAAGTAAGCCACCACCCAGCCGCCACTCTCCTCCGTTGGATGAAGCCCAAGCAAACGTGGCCCAAAATCTGACCCTATCAGTATCTCCTAACAAAATGGCCTGTTAGGAGATTAACTTTTTCGGGTCGATCCATCCTCGGCTGCCACACCTTGACTCAGCCTTCTGCCGTCGATGCAAGCTTCCCCATCATTCCGTCGAATGCCAGCTTCTCCCGTCGATGACAATTTTGCAGAAAGTTGCAACTACTGTTCGCGGGAATCGGTTCAGGTACTCGGGGTCGGGGAGTAGCTAGAGAGGAAGAGTTTGTCCGGGACCGGGGGTGGGGGAATTGGCAAGGGAAGGAGAAACGTGTTTCGATTTTTTCTAATTAATTGATTTATATTTTCTAATTTATAGACCATGGACGTAAAGAATAAAACAATTAAAGCTGAAATTAGTACTTAGTGGTAAATGAGGGGCATTTTTGTCATTTCCTAACCTATTTAACCGTCATTTAATGGAAAATTAGATGGAAGGGTAAACTTGTTACAATTTAATATTAGAGGGGTATGTTTGCGCAAAATTTTAATAAAAGGGTATGTTTGTTAATAAAAGGGTATGTTTTACTTTCATTTCTGTTTCCTGTTTTTAAGAAAACAGATGTTGAAAACAAGTGAAAACAACATTTTGTCGTTTCCAAAAACAGCGAGAAGTTGTCACTTTCTGTTTTCATAGTTGGAAATGAATAGAAAACAGAATGAAAAGTAAACACGTTTTCTCGTTTCGGTTGCCAAATTTATGACATGAAAACAGAAAATAGAAAACGAAAATGAAAGTTAACAGCGCCATAATAATGTAGCTTATAAATTGGATGAAAATATGAAATAATGTATTCATAAGTGACATTTTTAATATATAAAATAAATTGGATGAAATGACAAAAATAAACTTTGTAGAATTACTCTCGTAGTCTCGTTGAAAGCTTCTCCTTCTTTCCACTTTGGTAAGGTAATAGCTGAAGAAGCAACCTGGTGGTCTGGTGGAGAATGGTCACTTCTTGCTCTCCCCTAAGGTAAAGCTGTGATGATTCTTCCCTTAGTTAACCGTTATTTGCTATATATGCCTCCATAATGATCTTTTGCGAGCTGGAGCCTAATGAATCTCCTATTGGAATAGAACTCTGAAGGAAGCCTCTGTTTTTCTTCGTTTAGGGTTTTCTTTTTGGCTGAACAACGCAGAGTTTACAGTCTAAGATTGGGCCATGGGATTTGATCGGACTGTTTCTGCTTTTGTTCGCAGAGTTTACGGCGTCATCAAATCCTACGTCAAATTGAAGCCGATCAGTAGCTTACAGGTTTGGTATTGGGTTCCGTTTCGTGCGTTCAGTTGATGAAATGAAAGTTTTAGTAGCCCATAGAAAAAACGAAGGAAAAGTTGTATGCTTATGATTCCGACTATATCTCTTTCAGTTGTGCCAGTATGCCGTTTGTGGAGGGAACTTTTGCTAGGTTATTGTTAATGGCCAAGCCATAGTTCAGTTGTGATGAGATTTTCAAGTGAATCCAACAAGATTTTGGTGTACGAATTCATTATTAGGATTTCAAACTTCTCAAGAGTGTGTCTGAAGTTCATTGTCGTAATATTGATATGATGCTCTGAAAACTGAGGGCAATGGCCTAAGTGACACCAAGTAAAGGAGAGAGTGAGAATTTCTGTAATGCTAATTTCGGGTCTTGTTGACCCCATATCATTACAAAGTTATTGACTTTGTGAGCTCTTAGATCTTGTGGAGCTCAATGTGATGAATACTGGAGCTTTGTAGTTCACTTTAATTTGATCGCATGTGCAGGGTCGGAGCTTTTCTTGCTACTCGAGCTTTAAAAGTGAAATGACTGGGGGAAAGGATAAGTTAGCTGCCATGGAAAGAAACAAAAAGCAAAAATCAAATATGTTTGTGTGGAGACCAGTCTCTACTATTGCCCACTCTAATGAAGGTTTCTATTCTTGTTCACATAGTAGTTTACCTCAGCAGGAGTACATGATTATAGCTGCATGAACAAGGCTTAATCTAGGGTCTTGAATTAAAATGCATCATGTCATATGACAGGAGGTTTTTTTACTTCATGGATGCTCTGGCCTCTGGATTTGTGTACGGATTAGACATGGAAAAGGAAAAACTCTTGTATATGGAACGTTCCTGGAATAGCTTGATCTGTAGGAAGCTAGGTTGTTCTTTGATGCATTTGGATGTGCTTGTGGAGTAGATTTTAAGAAAGCAGTTTAGTTTACGACTCTAAACTTCATCTTTTGAATATGAAGAATCCTTGATAAGAGATGTGAATCTTCAGCAACGAGATGGAGATAGAAATAAAGAACTGCCATGCGGCGCTTCTAGCACTATGTCAAATAGTCAACAGAGTGTAACTGGACCTGGAGTTGTAATTGAAGCAGCACATTCTACTATCACTTCTTCATTAGATGAAAATGTCGAAGCAGGAGCTTTGGAAGCATTGTCTGCTGGAAAGCATTCAGTTTCAATTGAGGTAAGGACCATTTATCATCCTCTTACTAATGGACCATTTATGCATGTTCAGACCTATGTCACTGTTCAAAGTTTATGGACTACTCTCAAGTATACTACTGCTTTCATAATGACCAGTTATTTTTACCATGATAATTTGCACATAAGTACTATGTCAGTGATTGTGCTCTCTTGTTTCTCCAAAAAAAAAAAAAAAAAGTTATTGTCTCTCTCCCTGCCTCTCTCTCTCTCTCTCTCTCTCTCTCTCTCTCTCTCTCTCTCACTAAAATCTGTGATGTACTTCAATTTTGCAAACTTTTATAGTGAACTTTGTACTTCTGCTGTCACATTTTCTTTTGTTAGGACTTCAGAGTTTTTCATTTTCAGTTCTATTAAAGATCGTCTCCCTAGCATTTTCACTTACTTGCTCTTTGTTGATATGTAGGTCGGTGCTTCTCTAATTCGATTTATTAGAGGAAAAGGGTATGACTATCGAGCACATAAAACCATCTTAAATAATCACTATTCCAGTTTTCTTAAGTAGTTGAAGTTTTATTTTGCAGAGGAAAAACAAAGGAAAAAATTGAAGAGGAGATGGGGGTTAAGATAATATTTCCAGCATCAAAGGATGATGAACTTGTTGGTAAGTTATCCAGGAAGTCTCAAGTCAACCAGTTACCTTAGTGCATTCATTGATTAGCTGCCAACCTTGTAATTTTCACAGTTTTTATATTTAAATAAGGTGTTATCTATTCTTGTGGGTAGTTTTCTTGCCTCAGAAAGACAGACAACAGTTGCCATGGTACTGTCCATTATTAGTTTCTTCTAAATGCTATTTACTGCAGTTATCGAAGGTCCTTCAGTTGATTGTGTAACTAGTGCTTCAGACAAAGTTCAGGGAATACTTGATGAGGTAAGTTGCAAACCAATCCCCATGGAACTTATCTACCGTGTCGCGCTTATTAGGAATAGTCATCACTGTTCTGATGTATATCTAGTGATAGTGAATCCAGTGGTTGCTGTAAAAAGATTTGGGTAAATCAAAGAAAAGGTCTTGCATAATATAATAAAATTTAGCATAGCTGAGACTGGTGAAGTGTTGTATGACAGTATAAGTCCTTCATTTTGTTTATTTCCAAGAACTTATGGTATTTTCATGTGATACGTGCTTTTTGTATTCTGCCTTGCCTGTCATTCAAAGCCACAAGTGAAACACGGGCTTAGTTAATGTCTACTTGTTTAAACGGAAAATGCATCTTATGTTTTTTATCAACACACCAGGATAGATGAACCATGCAGGGTAGTAAGGTTGTTGTCATGGCTATATATGCAATCAAAGTATTTCTTTACCATATGGAGAACTGTTAAGTAACGCCTTCATCCATGTCTATATTTCATATTTTGTTCCATGTGTCTGAAATGTAATTGTGTTACTTAATCAATGATGCTTTCATTTTCAGTGGTAGGGTAAGTCATGACTTACAGAATTACTTGAATTCCTAGCATCCTGTAGTGCGGCATATATAGCTACCAGAATGTATGACTTCTGCTCCGTGCCTTTTCCGGAAAGTTATCTTGGGGAATCCTCCTCTCCTTGTCCATCTCTTCCCTCTTCTTCTTGGGATGTTAATAGTTTATAATTGTTAGATTGCGAGGTTATTGCGATTTAGGCCAAGTGTATGCTCATTCTCTCAAATCCTCCTTTTTCATGGTTTAAACAGGCCATTAGAAGTCACAATCTTGATTACTCTCACTTCGTATCTCTTCCATTGGCTATACACCCCGAATTGGTCGATAAGCTAGTCAAATTCCAGAATTCTGTTATGGGAAATGATGAATTCCTCAATGAGAATTTGGAAAATGATTCTACTGAAGGTTCCTCAGACAATGAAGTCAAGGATCAAGAAACCAACAAAAGACAAGATGTTGCAGTTGGACTTAAAGTTGGGGAAGGAAACAATGTTAGAGTCGATCTGACGAGCATACCTCTTGTTAGCTACAAGCCTAAACCATCACAACGGAGAGCATCAACGTCTGATTCATCTGGTAGGGCTTCATGAGCTTATTGATCCCTTATGCAGATGATATGTACATATCTCTTGTTCGGATATTCTAGTTCCACAGATTAGATGTGTTTTAACTATGTCCCAACTTTATTTATTGTTGCTTTTGTTTAGCTCGAGGAAAGAGAAGGGTATATGGTTTAGTCACTGGTGCATAATCTTACGAACTCATCATTTGACTGATGCAGGAATAGACAAATCCATATTCATAAAACCTCAGACATTCCACTTGACTGTACTCATGCTGAAGTTGTGGAATAAGGAGCGAGTCAATGCAGCTTCAGAGACTTTGAAGGTATTTACTTTTACTGATACGGTAGTTGAGGTATGATCCTATCAGCATAGTTTGATGGTGTACTTTTATGCTTGGATCATAGAATATCTCTTCAAAAGTGTTGGAGGCCATGGATAATCGACCTGTCTCTATCAGACTTAAGGGATTGGTGAGTGAAGTGAATCTTTAATTCTTCGATATGAATGATCTCCTTCCCATCTTTAAAACATGTCTCGACATAATATGTACCATACTCATGCACCCTTTCACAATTTATCCTCCCATGGCAATGCAGGAGTGCATGAAGGGCTCTTTGGCGAAAGCTCGTGTACTTTATGCTACGATTGAAGAATGTGACACTGAAGGCCGACTTGTACGTGCTTGTGGTATCCAAAAATGTTGTGTTTACAATTGTCTAGTTTCATTCAGTCTCCAGACTTGTTCCTTGCAAGAATAATCGGTCGGTTTTGCTCTGTCTGCAAGTGAGTTGAAAAGTTTAGGCATGTATTGTTGGGTCAATTACAAAAATAAACAAATAGGTTACTGCTTCGCTCAAGTTTAGAATAAGTAGCGTATAGCAGGTGATGGACGAAGAAACCCTACTTTAGTTATTTGAAACTCTCTGATGACAAGTTTTTTAAAGGGTGAAAGTCATGACTAATTTGCTAGTGACACTAAAGTTTAGCTGTCAGTTATAATATTCTTTAGCTGTCAGTTATAATATTGACCCCTGTATTGTCTGCAATCAACTGGCCTTTCCTTAGTTTTTCTTAGAAGTTATTCGCAAAGAGTTTGCTAAGGCTGGACTAGTTCTGGAGAAAGATGCTAAAGAACAGTTAAAGGTAAGTGGAGAGAGTAACATACAACAAATTACCTGTATCCTTGAATAGATTATATGCATTGTAAGCCCGAAAAATTGCTTACTTGAAGGGTTTCTTTGTTGTCCACAGCTGCATGCCACAGTGATGAATGCGAGGCTTAGGAAAGGGTAATGAATGATACTACTAATACCCACCCTTTGACGCCTTTTTGTCTTACTTCTTTTGCCCTACTTTCTTGACTAGTCTTTCCAATTTGACAGGAAGGGGAAGATGAAAACGTTTGATGCACGAGGCATCGTTGAGCAATTCGGAGACGAGGCCTGGGGTGAATATCTCATCAGTGAAGCTCATCTCTCGCAGAGGTTTGCATATGATTCGAACGGGTACTACCACTGCTGTGCGTCGATACCGTTTCCTGAAACTGAAAGTAAGCAGGCTGTAGTTTCTGATTGATCTCTATATGAAAGAATTAGAAAGTTACACAAGAGTCATAGAGCATAGTAGTACTTAGAGCAATGTTTCTTTATGTTGTCCTGTTGAAATTGTGTTGATGGTGCCATGTTCTTATTGTACTACCGTTGCTGTGCTTATGAAGTGAAGTTGAAAGAAGAGGGTGAATGAGAGAGCTCCGGCAAATTAGGTTAGTTTAGTTGAAAGTGTATTATGGAGTGGTAGCAAAAGGATTAAATTAGGGTTAGTTCCCACTAATGTTGGGCGGTTGGGTTGGACCATTTTAATTGTTTATTATGTGAGGTGATGAGGTGCGAATTATGGTTTATTGGTTGTTTGAGATCCAATTCATTGAACATCGTTTCAATTATTTCATGTGAGGGTTTTGCTGTCATGTCTCCTACTCCACAGAACACCATGATTACGTTAATTATGATTATTGTTAATTATATAGCCCCAATTTTTCTGGAATGTTCAGCTTCTGATCTAAGGATGGCGTGGATGTTATTTTTCAATTGATCTCACGTTTTCTTTTCCTGGATGTGAAGTCAGCTTATCTTTGGGAAACTTTTTATTATTATATACGGATTGGAGTCCTACTATTAAGTATGGCTTTTCCGATGAATTTGTACTATAGTGAGATTTTTTTCCTCAGTACACCAGTGCTTAGAAAGAATTCTCAAAATATGAGTATTTTGAGTATTTTCCATAATACACATGTTTCACAAAATAGCTTAGGTCAAAAGGAACCAAAATCGATGAAGGTCACGAATGACATGAATTGTTGTCTTGTCAAGTGATCAACGGTTAGATAATGTTCAAAGTGCGCAATCTGCACTCATTGCTTTCGACCGACGCTATTGGTTGGAGCAAGCGATGCAAATTTCTTACGTGTTCCACAATGACCAGTTACGGAGTCAGGAATCTGAATCAGGGGGATTGATTTGAACGCGGGGGGCGGGGGGTTCTAAGGCATTACCGACTACTCCATTTTTTAATTTCGTTTAATTTATCAATTCACAATTTATATAATTAATAAAACATAACAATCAACACTTGGTTATAGTTGACCTTTAACATAAATACATGCAACTAAGACAATTATCTTACGGTTAGTATAGAAGTATTCACCTAGCAAAAATTTATCACAATGGTATGGGTTAATGAATTGTTATGTTTGTTTGAATTGACTTAGTCTTTTAGCAATTTTCATAGGCTAAAAATGACCTTGCTTTCAAGTTTTCATCCAACATAATGTGTGAGATTTATCTAAATTAGGCGTTCATATGTTGTGATCTACACTCTACATATACAAATATACATTATAGGAACAATATCAAGCTTTATATTTTATGAGTCTAAAATGGATGAACGTTTAACTCTTGAGTGGTTATTCAAAGTATTAAGTATGTGTATATATTAGATATATGGCTAATTATTTATCTGTTAATTTGGTTTGACTGGTTAGGAGTGTCTGAAACCAAACCAAACCAAACCACCTAAACCAAACAAGCTAAAATCTTTAACCAAACCAAACCAATTATCCAAATTAACCAAACCAAATTATCCAAATAGTACTGGTTAAAACGATTACCATGGTAACCACACCGTTTGAACACCCCTATTGGGATCTAGGAGGAATTAGTCTGTCTAACTTGTCTTTTTCTAGGAAGGTTACTAGTAGCCAAAATTTGGACATGAATTCCGCTGTTTCTTTCACAGAAATTAAGGAAGTGGTCTTTGTCATGGGTAAGACTAGGCGCCTGGACCTAATGGCTTCACGGCAGGTTTCATTTTGGCATATTGGGATACTGTTGGCCAAGATGTTACTCAGAAGGTGCTAGTATTCTTCCATTCATGATGCCTCCTAAGTAGCTGTAACCGAAATGGATATATCTAGTCCCTAAAGTCCAAGATGTTAAGTGTATGAAGCAGCTCTGGCCGATTAGCCTGTATCAGGTTGTTTATAAGATCATTGCTAAGATCATGGCTACCATATTTAGCAAAATTTAGCCTTCCGTTATCTCTCCTTCCCAAAATGGGTTCATTAAAGGACGTCCGATAGTTGATAACATTCTCATTAGTCATGAAGTTACGAACCATCTTAAGACCATATGTGCCGGGAAAAATTCTTGGATGGCCTTGAAGCTAGATATGGAAAAAAACATACAATCATATAGAGTGGCCCTTCATATTTGAAATGATGAACATGTTGGGATTCCATCTATTATTTATTAACCGGGCTAAGGAATGTGTCACTACAGTTTCCTATTTAGTTTTGGTTAATGATAGGCCCTTAGAATACTTTCAACCCTCGAGGGGTCTTAGGAAAGGAGATCCACTCCTGCCATTGCTTTTTGCTATATGAGGAAGGCTTCTCGGGTATGATTACACAAGCTCTGAATAGGGGCTTTTGGAAGGTGTTCGTATGCGAGCCTCTTTGCCATTGGTGTCCCATATGATCTTTGTGGATGACTCCTACTAATTTTATACTGACTCTCTAGAGTCGTGTACCACTCTCCTCCCTCTGCTTCATGTGTATTAAGGATTAATTGGTCAAAGAGTGAATCTAGTCAAATTTGCTATCTTGTTTAGTTGAATACCCCTCCATTGATGGTTCGTATATTGGGTGGTGGGGGATATTGAGGCTCAAGATTCTTATATCGACCTTCCATCTGCCATTTCTAGATCAAAGAAGGATACTTTTCCGCTTCATTGAGGACAAGCTAATTAAGAAACTCCAAGGTTGTAAGCAACGGACCCTCTCGAGGGAGGCTAAGGATACCCTCATTAGTATATCAGCCACTAAGATCCCGGTCCATGGAATGTCTTGCTTTAAATGTCTAAAAGAGACTTCCAGGAATTTGAACATCCATGTATAGGGGTGTTTAAATGGCTACCGTGGTAATAAACAAATCAATCAAGCCTAAATTTCATTAATCATGGAATAAAATGTCTTAACCAAACCTTCCAAATTAACACGAAAATCAAATTAACCAAACCAAAGTTTAATTGGTTTGGTTAATCGGATTAAACAAATAACATAACATTACATGAAAACAATTATCTTGTCAATGAATAAAACATAACCATATGTTATTACTATCATAAACTATCATTATATATAAGCAATAAAAATAAGACTAATCATCCATGATTATCATCATCATTCGAGTTAATACATCATTCATCATCTCTGCACCTAATATAGTTAGCTTACAACAAACCCTTAACATAAATATTAAATACATACCAATACCACTCATCAGGAAGTTAAAGCTCTCCTACAAAACACTTAAACTGTACATAGTTTGAGGTGGTTGTTATGGTACTGTACGTAATTCTAAAGTATAGTAACTGTCCAAAATGTTTTGGTTTAGTAAATAGGCAGACCCATTTAATTTTTGACCCATAATGCTTTGGTTTGTTGTGCTCATGGAAATAAAATAGGAAATCACGAAAGTTTGGTTTGGTTGGTTGCATGGAAGTTTAAATAATTTTGTATATTGCATGTATCATTAATTGGTTAATTGGTTTCATTGTTAGCAGTGTTGAAACCAAACCACCTAAACCAAATAAGCTAAATTGTTTAACCAAACCAAACCAATTATCCAAATTAACCAAACTAAATTAATCAAATTCACTGAATGCCAGATGCCTAGTGCTCACTCATTGCCTGTTTGCAGATGACACGGTCATTTTCGGGAAGGCAGATTACCAAGAAGCGTAGAAAATCATCGATCTGATCGGAAAATATGGAGCTATCACATGTCAAGAGGTGAATATTAACAAATCTTCAGTTTTATTTAGTGCGAATGTCCCCAGCGACGTCAAAGATAATATCATCCCAAGTACTGGCTTTGCTTCTTCGAATTGCCACTCAAAGTATCTTGGAGTCCCGACGGAATGGGGAAATTCAAAGAAAGAAACATTTAAATTCCTCATTCAAAGAATGGAAAAATGGGGGAAGCGTGGAAAAGTTTTATGCTCTCTCATGGTGGAAAAGAAATCCTCCTAGAAGCAGTTATTCAAGCTATACCATCCTATATCATGTACAAGTTCCATCTCTCGAAGGCTCTCACTAAGAGAATGGACTCTCTTCTTAGTAACTTCTTTTGGTCAGGGTCTATGCAGAAAAGTAGCATCCATTGGTGTAAGAAGGAGATTCTGAATATGCATAAGGTCTTGCCCGTGGCCTCCGAATGTGTGCCAACTAACTTATAAAGAGCTTACTGAATGGAATTCTTACCCGAGGTCCCCACCAACCATGTCTTCCCTCCCCTCTCAGCTCAGGGGAACCCAGTCTTATACGAATCCACCACCGAGTAATCATTCTTTGGCGATTCACTATGATGTGTCGTTCCTTAGCGACTCCCAGCCGGCGGCATGTGGTGTTGTGGTTGTTAACCACGATGGACAAGTGTGTGATGGGCGAGCTGAGGATCTCCTTTGTTCCACCCCGATTGAAGCAGAAACTAAGGCCCTTCTTGAAGGAGTGAAATTAGCTCAAGAATATGGATCCGAGTGTACGGTCCAATTCGACTGTCAGGTGCTGGTTAAAGCTTTGAATCATGATCATTCTTGATGGCCATGGATTGGTTCGATTGTTTCTATCCTCAGGACAACCCTTCTCATTAGAATCAAAGAAGTGCTCAGGGCACTTAATGTCAGAGCAGATTGGGTTGCAAGATCAAAAGCGAGAGCATTGCTTATGATTGGATTAATATTCTTGACCTCATTTCTCATTTTCTTTAGAATTGTAATCGGGTTTCTCGTCTTTCATTTGTTTGGTGGAATCAAAGTTGGGAATCATTGTAAAAAAAAGGATAAGAGTAGTGAAATCTTTATCGGTATTGACCCTAAAGCAATCGATTGTACTCAAATTTCAATGAATAAAACTCTAACAATCACAACTTTCAAACAACTCCTTAAATGGTAAAAAAATTATAAAATACCTTGTGCTAGTGTAAGTGATAATTAAACCTATATGCTTTTAAAGAAACAAAATTATATGCCTACTATGTGTATTTTGTACAAGTTGCATTAGGTAGGGTAGGGGGCATGGTTTCAATTAATCGGCAACAGTGAGCTAGCTAACTAGGCTGTAGTACCACTGATGCCTACTCTAGAAATCAGGAAGCTGGGAAAAATGAAGGGGAAGGGGCCTTCAAGACGGACACGTGTCGGTCAAAACCTGGGAAGATCTATGGAGATCAGGTAGCCAGAAAAAGGAAAAGAGCAGGCAGCTGATAAAGATGGTTTCGTTTCTGAGTGTCCAAAGTCCAAACCCAGAGCCAGACCGGCCGAAAAACCAAGGGCTGTGCCACTGCTTAGTCCAAGGTAGGTTGCTTTGCTTGGTTGGGGAACCCCGCGTGGGTCGGTTTACTTAATTACCCATCTTGCTTGTCTTAATTAATATTAGCGTGGCCCCGACCATTTGGCCGGAGGAAGGTGATGTATGAAATTTGATAATGTAATGGGCTGTATAGCTTATTGTTGTATAGTTTTTTTGGAAACACGTGATAAAAATAGTGAATTTTAGTAGGAAAGAGATATGAATGATGCAACGAATCAAAAATCAGCCTTATGAACCAAAATCAAGTACCTGTTACCTTGTAAAACAATATTGTTTCTGGTAATATGATGAGGTGGAGTAAGTTTTATAGAAACCAAATTCCAGAAAATCGAATAAAAATTCGTCTATCCCGCCGGTTTTCGAGAAATGAGCATCTCACAATCGTTGCTAGCTTTTACTCGGCTAGTTGGCCGATTAATTTGCTTTATAAAACTTTCATCTTGTCATCATTGTACTTTCTGTTTTTTTGCCAAGCATGATAAAATCTAAAGAAATAAAGAATGAACAACACGATTTGGGATAGGAACCACCGTTCCTGTATCCCTAGAAAATGGTGGTAAACACGGACTCACCTACCAAACTGGTTTGGATTGAGATTTGTATCGGGTATCAGGAAACCATGTGATTATAAATTAGACTTTATCAAAATGGGCCAAAACTTGAAATTCAGCCTATTTGACCGACCCATGCCAAACTCTAATTATTCTTTACTTTTAAATTTTCTATTTGAAAATAAAAAACAATGAAAGAAAAGAGATGACTGCAATTCGCCATTTGCACATCACTGATTCGAGAATAAAACTATAAAATTTCGAAAGGAAACTGAAAATGTTTAGGATCATTTTAATGTTAAAATTAACCAAATAGATCTTGCTGATTAGTGTTTTACTGACAAATACCAAACGATTCCCTGTAATATACACTATAATTTAATCATTATGATATCAAATGATTACATAATATATATTTGAAATGATAAAAATTGGACTAATTGGGTTGGTCGAGGTTGAACCATTGAATAACTTTAAAATACATTATATTTTAGCCACTAAGATATAAAATAATAGCATAATGTATATTATGCTAGAGAAAATAGCTAGTTTTAGAATGACAAACCCATGATGTTCATTTGTTTTACTGGATGGGAAAATCCCGTGTAGGTCAGGCCCTTTCAACTATTTTATTTTATGAGTAGCGGTTAGCCCATTAGAATCCATGCATTAGTTTATTGTTAATTTTTTTTCCTTTTTAGCAATAAAAAGGAGTATTGTTTTTGCCTTTTCATATATATTTTACCACCACGGAGAAATAAAAGGACTTAAAGAAAAAAATTGACACTCCTGGACCCGTTTAAATCCGCATGTGTACGGTAAGTTGTCCCATTCCACAGAGGAAAAAGAAAAAAAATTTACACTCCCTATTCTAACCTTCCTACAAACGCTCATGGAGCAGAAAATTTGAAATGGGAGAAGAGTTTTTTCCTCTCTGCGATTATATGTTTTTAATTTAAAAAGATATAACAAATGTACTTAGTGTGATTGGTTATGATCTGTGATTTTCTTTAAAGTGGTCATGGTTCGAATCCTAGTAAGTGTCTTTTTAATGAATAAAAAGAAAGTAATTGTGAATACTAAAATGTCCTTCCTACTTTCACTCTGGATGCAGGAAATTTGAAATGAGACTTCAAGTTTTCTCATTTGGCTTTTATTTATTGTGTAGATTTAATTATTTTCTTAATGTGGGTTAAGATAGGGTGATTAAGGTTGGTTTTTGTTAGGGATTTTCTTGTTGCGTTGTGGCTTTGTGAGACGAGGGAGGATAACTAAACTCGGTATCAGCGAGTTGGGGCTTAGGGGACAAGACTTGACTGCTAACCAAATGAGTGAAGACTTATTAGCTAGTTGTTTTGCTTCATATTTATCCTTTATGGTTTATTTTCCTTTCCCATAGAAACAAACTTTACTTGTTTAGAGAAGAGAGTAACGCTCTACTCATTTTTTACTCCTTTTTGTCTGGGCTGTTAGTTAGTTAGCTTGCTATATTATTAAGTGATTAGCTGTTGGAAGCGTTGTTTTGTGATGAGCAATTGTAGTCAATGCTCTTTGGTTAGAGATTTGGATGAAATGAAAATTTGATTTAAAAAGTAGAAATAATATTTGTGATAATATATCTTTATTGAGTCTGAGCCTTAGTGCTATGAAAATTTTGAATATTTATGTTGGTTTTGGATATTATTAAAATTATTTGTTATATGATATGTAATGCAAGTCTTTAATATTGAAGTTAATGTTAAAAATGTGGGTTAAGAAAACCATAGGGTTGTCTTGCATGTTCATGTATTGAGGGTACAATTGTGTTGGGTTATTTTATCTGCACTTCAAGGAAAACATGCCTAGGACGATGAAAAACTTACTAGTTTTCTTGGTTGTGCGTACTGAGTAGTTTCTTTTCCAACATTTGGTCATGATAGTATGTGATCCATTTCGGGCTTGCTCCTCGAGTAGTTCTAGCCAAGATTGAATGAAGACATCTTATTTGTAGGCTTCTCTTCTACTTTTGATGAATTATCCAACTTTATACGACCCTTCCTCTAGTTTGTTTTCTTACCAACCTAAAGTGAGTGAGAAAATATAATTTTATATGAAAGAGAAATGGGCATAACATACATTTTTAGTATTTATCGAGTACAATTTAAAATAGTGCCAGTATAAATTTTCATACAATCCCTATCAAACAATTTGTTTCAAAAAAATAAGTGGCATATCACATTTTCAGTAAATGACACGCCCAATCGATAGTTTTCTATTATTTACATTTTTAACCTGTGTATAAGCCGATCAAATGTAGTTGAATTCCAACATAATTCAACGTTGCCACCAAATTTATCGATCCATTTTTGGGTCATTCTGATGAGTTTTGTTGTTGTAAGCACGTCCTAGCTTTGAGGAAAAAGCTTTTTTGAAGAGGGAGGTACTAATGCAAGCCTCCTAGGTTGCTTGCAAGTCAATCCAAATTCATTCCCAAGTGTTAAGCTAGTGAAGAACCAAACTGCCCAAAATTTGGCTAAGGCAGAAACTGTGAGGTACCAACTTTGGAGACTTATTGTTATGATTGGGAGACATTCGACTAAATCTGGAAGTCCATTTTCAAGAAGCTAAAAATTGTATGGAGCCCTGTTTTACAGACAGAATTATTTGTGCAAGAAGTTAGTTGCTTAGAGTTCAAGTTACCTTGTTTGAGAAGGATTATTTACATTTTTATGTTTTGATTTCGTGTCCTTATTAGTATAGACTTGTAGTGGTTTAATTTTGGCTATAAATAAGCCTTGCTTAATCGTTGTAATAGATAGATAGTGATTGAATAAGCATTTACTCCGAGGAGTATTTCGATTGACGAGTTCGATTTTTTGGTTCTTAGTGTGTCTAGGAATTTCATACCTCTTAATCAATCAATCAGAATTGATTGAGTGGTGACTCTACCCAAATCCAAATCAGCCTCTTCCCGTTTATGTTGAAGTTGCTAATCTGGTTCCATGCATCCTAAAACCCACACCCTATTGTAGATTCGAACCCATTCAGTCATCAATATCTCGATTGATCTTGGTTGCGTAACTTGATCACCAAGACCTCGAGCTTGAGGTCATATCAGATGACCACCAAGAGGTTAGTATCAATCCTTGTTGCACTTGTGGGATTTGTACATGTGATGTTGCCAAGCAAAAGAGAGAAGCAAGATTCAGAGTGCTTGTTAGACTTCATGCTCAGCCTTGACAATGCGTTATTAATGGTTCAAAGTTAGATTTTGAGCATGATGCTTATTCCTCCTATAACTGAGGCTTACCAGCTGGTGGCCGCCGAAGAACAACATCGACAAATTACGAGATCGAGGAATCGTGTTGTGGAAGCAATCACCTTCCAACCTCACAAAGAAATGGACGTTGATGACGAGCGCCCACTTTGCTCTCACTGTATAGGGCACATGAAGGAATTTTTTTTTAAAGATTATTAGATACCCTAGTGATCAAAACAAGAATCAACAAGGAGATCGTGGCACGGATCTGCTCGCGGGCCAAGAGGAGAAGGGAATTCAAACCCACATGTTGCCAACTTTGAGGCCGAGGAGAGACCTATTTCGGGCCTCTGAGGCACCCGCCCCACATTTTGCGGGTAACCACATCTACAAAAATAGAATTATGCTACCCACAACCCGCCCCACAGTGGGTAGTGGTTGGTGCGGGTTGGATGTGGATACCCACAAAAATTTTCGTTCCTTCACCCTTCTGACTTGTATATAATAAACCTATCGGTCAAGTGACGGAAAAATACACACACTGAGTTAAAACTAAGTAAAGAAGCCCAAGACATGGAACGAGCAATGATCCGATATTCGGAACCTCCTAAGTAGTCTACTTCGCTCTCCTCTGTTCACTTCACTCGCTTACATGTCACTTCACTTTCTTTATGAAATGAAAATTGATAACGAGTATGGGTTGGAGGGGATCTAATCAAAATATACATAGCATCTTTATCGACGGCATGACCCCTTCGGTAT